ATGGCTTATTCATGCAACGATTCAGAGAAGTCTGCAGAGCCCTGCAAATCTTGCAATATATATTTAAAGAGACAGATATGTTACAGTTAACTCAATCTAATTAAGTTCTTATGATCAAGGGCTGATCTAGCCTCATCTTGCAAAGAGAGGTGTAGGTTTTCCATGGCATGCATGGTGCATGAAGAAGCCTTTCTGCCCACTCTTCTCTGCAGTCTGCAACGCTACTATCCCAACATTTCCATTATTTGGGATGGCCTAATCTGCATGTTGGCCGTCCTGTTACGTATTACATTATCTTTTGTTTATACCGTAAACCTCCAACTATAAGTCCCCCCCCGAATATAAGCTCCCCCGAATATAAACCCACCACATATACTAACGCTCATCTCATTCCAAATATAAGCCCCCCTTCCCCGAATATAAGCCCACCCGAATATAAGCCTTCTAAATATACGTCCCTTGAATATAAACCCAATAGCTCACTACGTTATTCAACATTGACATTGTCTTTTAATATACCAGAGAACGATATTTAAAAACATTAATATATTGTCATTGTCTTTACAGCCGACTATGTGAATCAAAGCGCGTTATTAATACATGTTTGTTTTCCTGTTTATGACTAACTTGTTTGTGTCTAACTTGTTTATTACTAACACAAAAGATCGTCCATGTATTAGCCCCCCGTATATAAGCCTCCCCCTTCTCCTTGTATAAGCCCATCAAAAATCGCTTACGAAAGTATATAAGCTCAGGGCTTATAATCGGAGGTTTACGGTATAAATTTATGTTTTTGTAGAATCTCTTAGGGTGGTGCTGGACTTTTCTAGGGAGAGAAAATTATCAAATGTTTGCTGGGTTCAAATTATTAAATGTTTACCGGGACAACTATTGTTGAAACACCACCATGACATGAATCACAACTGTTACCAAAAAACCTTTACTTTATAGGTTTGTTCGCTTCTTGCAAAACTTCTGGGGTGCCTTGGTTAAGCTGTAAGGCCATTACAGCCTGGATTAGTGGAAGGGAAAACTCAGGATCGCATAGTTCTGGTGCAGAAGTGTCAATATCCTACGTGGAACATGTTTTGAAGAAGTGTTATATTCCAGAAAAATTAAAAGGTTGGCATTATTGTTATTCACAACTGCCCTTCACAACATGTAATATTGCGAATCACTCAATCATATCAATGTATTTACACTATATTTACACTTCTGAGCGACGATCTCGGATCCTCGAAATTCATCGTTTTTTCTTATCACTAGTAACTAGGATTTTTTCTATTTTTTATTATCCATATATTTGTCAACGCGATGCAATTTAATTTATGATTTAACAGAATTCGAGAAAGCCATACCAAAAACAGTCCTTCCTGACATGGTGCCAAATTTCACTGGTCGAGACAGCGAGTGCAAAGAAATCGTTCATTCTCTGACTTCGAAGACAAAGCGAATAGTTACAATTTCAGGACCCCCTGGATTTGGGAAAACGTCAGTGGCTAAAGCAGTTTGTCATCACCTCAAACGACAAGGACTTGCAGTCTATTACCTGTCACTGATAGATGTTAAATCAAGTAAAGATTTTGAGTCTGAACTTGTAAACAGCTTCCCACCAAAAGCAGGAGATAAGCGACCTCCGAAATCAATAGACCAGGTTTGCCGCGTCCTTTCTGGTATTCCTGCAGATGTTTCCATCGTTCTCGATAATGCTGATTATCTATTTGAGCAGCAAACAAGTCATGAGGTCTTAAATCTACTACGTAAGATTCTTGACCATTGCGAAAATGTCAACTTGTTGTGTATCACAAGGATGAATCTTGACATTGTCCTGAGAAACAGCATACAGGATTACGTTTCTATCACAATTGTACCACTGGATGCCGATTCGTCTGCTAAACTGGTGAAGGAACTACTCCCAGAAGCCAACGCGAGCGAATGTTCAACAATCGCAAAGATGAGCGGACACGTACCGCTGGCCATAAAGCTTTTTTGTGGCTCGATTAAAGACGATGGCAAGAATCCTACCCAGTTTCTTGACGAGTTTCATCATTCTTCACAGAACGTTTTCGACTTGCTGGACGACCCTGATTTACCAAGCGATGAACGATTGAAAAATGTATTTGATTCTTCCTTCGTGGGACTTTCGCAAGTCGAGCAGGAAGCATTTGTTTCTCTTTCAGTTTTTGTTGGGGAGACGTTCGACGAGAAGGCCGCTGTGAATATAATTGATGGAGCCAAAACACAAGCACGAATAGCTTTGCGCGGACTGAAAAGAAAATGTTTGATTGCTTCAACAAAGTCGACGGAAGAAAATATTCTCTCTTTTCACCCACTAATCAAGTCCTTTGCTGTCGAGAAAGCTAAATGTGATATGAAAGAAGTTGGTCGCCAAGCACAAATACGTTTCCTGAGACATTACGTACAGTTGTGTAAAGATTTAAATGAAGAATTTCTTGCTGGAGATTCGCTGACTACATTTCTAAAATTTGAATTCGACAAAAAAGTTATTCTTCACTGCCTCGTTCAAGGTTTGTCAAGCAAAAATGTGGGCGAGGACATTCTTGATGTTCTTGCTGCAGCTGATCTGTTTTTGGACACGATGTTCTACTTCGGTTATGCCTTGGATTATGATGATGTTTATAAGCTGGCAGTTGAGAAAGCAAAAGAGCGACGTGATGTTGTGGCTACTCACCAACTCCTTCTAGGCAGATTGCTATTCTTCATATCATCCAGCAATAAAAACCGTCGTCAAAAAGCAAATGACTTGTTCGACGAGGCCAAGAAAATTGAAGACGAAAATCGCTTGCTAATTTCTGAAGAAGCCAAGGGAAAACGCATGTGTTATCAAGGGATGTTTTTGCTTCTTAGCCCGGATAAGGATTGCACGGCGCTTGCAGTTGAAACACTTGAAAGAGGAATTAACCTGCTGAGTTCCAGAAACACGATGATGCTGAAAGCTCTAAGTTCCCAAGTTCTGGCTGTATACTTCAGGTATATCAGAAATGTTGAAAAATCATCGCATTTTCATGAACTCGCCATAACCATTTGCGAGGATAGAAGATACCTACAAGCTTTCCTTCTTTTCATTAATGAGGTTGGGTGTTTGGAAGCGATGGAAACTGAGTTCCAAGCGACTCGTAGCCAGCCTGCACTTGTTTTAGCATTCACTCTTCTCATCGGCTGTCTCGGAAGAAGATATGACATGACTGATACCTTGGAAAGACTCGCTGTGGTAGTGTCTGAAATGGAAAAGGACACTGAAGAAAAAGCAAAACAGGACAGCTCATACTTCCCAATGCTTTACTACATTTGCAGAACATTGCTTAAACTGAGAAAACCCGAAAAAGCTTATAGCGCGCTAGAAAGTGCTCTTGAAAATGCGCGCGCAGAATATGGCGAGGAACACGAACAAACAGCCAAGATTCTGTACAGTATGGCCATCGAAAAATCAAAAGTGAAAGACCACCACTCCGCTCTCTGTTTGTACAGGCAGGCCCTTAAAATCAGAGAAAAGTTGGGTGGAAAGGTCGTTTCCAGCTACCATAAGATTGGTTTAACACTAACAGAATTGAAAGACTACCAAGGAGCTCTGCAAGCACACGAGAAAGCACTGCGCTTAAGCCTGGAGCTAGTCCGGAAGCAAAATCCTGTGGGCATCTAAAGTTAACCGTGCTAGACGGTGTAGTAGATGATAGTGTACAATCTAGCGTGCATCGATTTTAACAAATATATTATCAGATTATAACGATGATAAAAATAACGTAGAGAGCAATAAGTATTCAGAAACGAGCACTGCGGATAATTCATCCTGCAGACTTAGTTACACCGAAGCAATATAAAGCAGGCAAAATTGGAGACATTATATGAATGAAGAGCCGGAGAAGCTGTGCGTTCAACTATTCACATCAATCGAAACAAATAATGATCGCAAGTAAAAGAACTAATGGCCACCGAGAAATTCACCACCAAATACTTTCAAGATCTTCCCATGATGCATGCGCACAAATAGAGCAACTTTGTAGAACGATTACCAAAACATTTTTCCAGGCGATGACTACTAAGACCAGCATTCCTCGCGGGCATCAAGCCTTGTGACGTCATTATGCATAAGGTCTATTAAATTTCTAAATAACTATGTACATTACGTTTAGATTTTAGACCATTTATTAGTGACTATAACTATTATATAAAGTATTGAACATAATTATACATGTATATATACATTTTGTAAAATTAATCGTAGACGTAGTTCAGTTCTGAGGACTCTGTAAATTTTGATTCAAATAAACTCACTGTCTATCTATCTATCTTATATTATATGATATGATATGATAACATGCTATATTAATTAACAATGATACGTGTTGTAACCAAAATAGTGGACTATGTTGAACCACTTAGTTTTTGTGTGCACTAGAGCGATGGTTTTTGTTAATGCATTTCGTATGTTCAAATATGTAATCTTTCATTGGGGAGCCTTCATCAATCATCCAAATCATGCAATATTTATAAATTATAATTGATTAAATATCAAGATTTTGTTGGCATCTCACTCCATTAAACATAAATAACAAAAGGATCTTGTAGATGGACATAACAATAGGAAATTTATATACATTTATTAAAGATGATGTCCACTCCGTTCTGCGCATCAGTTCTGCTCATAACTGAAGGGTGGCCCCCAGATATAAACATTGCCCAAATTTCGCATCTTTCGAACTTTTTTGAATTGAAACGTAGAGTTTATATTCATTTACAAGTATAGCGAACCAGAAAAGTGTTAGATATTCAGTTAGTATATCATATTTTACAAATATAGCAGTTCAAACGTAAACAAAGTTCGCGCATGTGCACAGGAGTGGAACAGCTGCGAAAAATGCAACTTTAGTCCCTGGCTAATAAATGTATATACTGGATAAAACGACTTTGATTTTTTGTTTTGACGTTTGAACTAAGCCTAATAATGGCCCAATTTATATCTGAGACGGATGATCCCTCTGGATAATCGGCAGGAAAAGAAAAGAAGGGTTGGTCATGCGTCCTTTGAACGGCCACCAACTTTTTTAAAAGAAAACTACGACGAACCACTTTAACATTTTATAATCGGTGCATCTTCGGTGAAAGGTCGGAGCAAGACGTCGGACATCAAATATGGCTCCAGTAACGATGAATACAGAACAGGTATATGTCTTTATTTTTATTATTTTTCTCCTTTTTTTGTGCCATAAGTTTGAATTTAAACTGTTATCTTTAATGTTTAATACTAAACTCTTTATACCATTCCAAATTTGGCTATACAGGCTTCAAAATAGAGTTAATTTTTGACATGAGAGTACGCTTCATTGTTGCCAAGTTGCAGTAAACATCTCCATACATCGATATTTTGTCTGCTTTGTATAAACTTTCTGTATTTCTAATTTCTTAAAATTAGCAACAGGTTTTGAAGTTTTTATTGAAGAATAACATTAAAGTATAAACATACTGTTGTACATTAGTTCTTTTTGTGAACAAATTGTGTTTTTGCCATGTTTATATAAATAAAATACATTATTTTGTTGTATATTTTGAACTTCTCGTGTTTCGCGCGGAAAAATATAACCTATATCATCGTATGTCTATATATATAGTAAAGTGTTATAAAATTTAAACCCAATTAGTGAACAGTTCAACACTCGCAAATGTCGATTCTATTTAACTGCCTATCGTAATTCATCGCTGACTGTCGCAAGAAATAAGAAAAATTTGTTTTGTTGCGACAGTCGGTGGAAGTCGCAGGCACTCTGCGATAATAACACAAATGAAAACACTATTTGCAAGTTGTCGGCAACAGTCAACGATACTAATGAAAGCCAGCTCTGTTCAATAGACCTTTCCGGTAATTATGTCACGACTAACACTGTTTTCAACTTAGGACCACCTTAAATGGAATAGATTTCAAGTTTGTTTCTCATGGGCTATAGTCAGAGAAGCAGAACATCCTTCATCAACACATGCATTGGATTTTGACTATTAAATGTGGAAATAAGCTTAAACATGAAAACGAGGCTGAGGGGCCCATCTTGGTCCCTCAGCCTCATTTTCGTGTTTAAGCTTATTTCCACATGTATTGGTCAAAATCCAAAATTATTTTTTATGCATGTGTTGACGAAGGATGTTCTGCTTCTCTGACCATAGCCCATGAGAAAAAAATTTGAAATCTATTCCATTTAAGGTGGTCCTAAGTTGAAAACAGTGTAGTTGTGACATAATTATCGGAAAGATCTATTGGATATGGCATGTGCGGACAGTTGTGGTTTTGTAATTTTAATTTGATAGAAAAAGAAAATGCGGTCAATAAGTTGCAGTTTGAGAAGCAGATCATTTGGGAGTGACGTTTGATAGTTCTGTTATAAATTCAAAACTATGATGAATCTAAATTTGCATTTAATCATTAGATAACTGATGATGGTCCAGGGCAAAACAATACGATAGTTTTCAATGCATCTAAGAAGGAACTGTTTACACCAACAAGTGGTTTCAAGTCTCTTGTTAGAAAGTTGAAAACTAATTGGAAAGTTGTTGTGTAAGTTTTAATATTGTAGTGTATTAATTCTGACTGAAATGTTGTGAAGATATTAAATAATTTGTGTCATTTATACTTGTGATTGTCTCATTATTTCCAGGGCAAGATTAACTTAATAACTTTCTTGCCAATAACAGCAGTGACACTTCCAGCCGTTTCCTACTTCACCAGTTTGCTTATTGTCCTGCGCTCCATGACATTATGCAAAAACTCCCTTTTCAAATGGCAAAACTCCCTTTTCAAATGGCAAAACTCCCTTTTCAAATGGCAAAACTGGACCTTTTCAAATGGCAACACTCCCTTTTCAAATGGCAAAACTCCCTTTTCGAATGGCAAAACTCCCTTTTCAAATGGCAAAACTCCCTTTTCAAATGACAGAACTCTCTTTACAAATGCCAGAACTTACTTTACAAATGCCAGAACTCCCTTTACAAATGGCAGAACTTGACAACTTTATTTTGATTATTAATTAAAATGAAGATTAGTTTGTTCTTTTACCGAAAGTGACTGGGCAAAATGACCGGCAAGGTAAGAATTTGACCGGGAAACTCCGCATTCTGGCCGGACATTGTCCGTAGACCGGCTGTTATTTTTCGTGCCCTGCTGATGAGCCCTACTTTATTATTTTACTGCTGCCACTCAATGAGTTAATTAAACTGTAGTGATCACCCTGGTTTGTTAAAACGTGATTTGAAAATAAATTATTTAGTAATAAAGATGACATCACATTGGAAAGACTTATGTATGCAAAGCTGTTTATTCTTGCTGGACCAAGGGAAAAGATATCTGCCAGCGAGGTGAGATGAATGAACCCCTAATTAGCCCTAACGAATCATTACTGAAAAGGCAAATTTCAAACAAAAATACAAAAAGTTGTCAAGGTCAATGAAAATGTTCTTCCATGGAGTCCAACATAAACCTTTTTCAAAATAGCAGGAAATATGAAAAATTTTGAATTAAAATCTTTTGAATAAAAAGCAGGATGTTTATGAAAGTCTATACTCATGCTCATATACATGCCAAAATCCAGAAAAGTCAAAATATATAATATTCTAGACATGTCGTACAAGGTTTTGACAACATTTTGACCTGATACATTTCAGTTTGAAGCAATAAAGAGTTATCTCGACAAAGGTGGGAATATATTAGTCCTACTTGGTGAAGGGGGCGAGACTCGCTTTGGCACAAACATTAACTTTCTGCTCGAAGATTTTGGAATCATGGTCAATAGTGGTGAGCATTTGGATTTTTTTTTTTGGAATCAATTTTTCTTTAAAAGAATTTGCACTTATAAATTTTTAGCAATTTCATGAAAATAATTTATGTTTTTTGTTATTGTTAGATGCGGTTGTTAGGACCTCCTATTATAAATATTTCCATCCAAAAGAGGTTTATGTATCTAATGGAGTGCTAAACAGGTATACTATACTTACCCATTTAACTGCAATTCACCCATGGCCCATGCTTTGAATTACCAACTGAAGATATACATCCTTTTTCTAGAGAGATCAATCACGCTGCAGGCAAGCAAGTCCCAGGAGATGTAGACAACGAAGTTTCAACTGCCGCACTGTACGTGAAATTCATAAACTTTTCTATTAATACTTTAACCTGCCGTGGTTGACGTCAGATCCGTGCACGTATAATAATGTTGAATTTTCATTAGCACAGACCTTCATTAGTATACTCTTCCTTTGAATGGAGTGGATAAAATAGGCAATTTGTCAAAACAGCCAATTCTGAATGTCAGTAGGTGGGTGGGGGCGAGTTGTCAATAATTAAAAGGTTTTGTCAGAAATTCAGGAGGTTTTACCCCCACCAGAGAAAAAGTGAATTCCTACCACTGAGTGACCAGTAATCTGTCAAAAATCATATTAAATTGTACAGTTTCTTGCTTTCAAATTTTTGATAAGAATTACATGATCATTTTCTTTAGATCTCTGAACTTTGTTTATCCTTTTGGTGCAACACTGAATGTCGTCAAACCTGCTGTACCGGTTTTGTCTACGGGAACTGTGTCATTGCCTGTGAACAGACCAATATGTGCATTTCATGCCTCCAAGGTAAATACGTCAAAGAACGTAGTTCACTGAGCACTATCGTGCCGCAGATGCTGGTCTAGCTACCAGCAGGGGGTGATTGAGTCGTAATTCCAGTTATAGACTAAATTTTGAACGAAATCCAACACCACAGCTAGAAAGAGCGTCTTAGAATGAGTAAAACTGCAAAGATTGGTTGCTAAATGTTGTAAAATGAAGAAAATATAGCCCTGTGAAGTTCGCAAATTTTGTATATATTTGTATTGCAAATAATGCACGTAATGCAAATATACAAAATTTGCGAACTTCACAAGGCTACAGTATATTTTCCAATTTTACTCATTTTAAGATGCTCGTTCCAGGCTTCCAGCTGTGGTAATCGATTCCGTTCTTCTTGTCTAGATCAAAATTTCGTCTATCAAAAAATCATCCATTATCAGAAAGATAAATTCTTTACATTATATATAGTGTGCAGTAACTGCGGTGCTGTAGTCTTGTAATTTAGCGGTCAATAAAATAAAAGGATTCAATATAATTTATCAGCATTTCTAAGGTGAACTCTCGTCTTCTCATTCTTCTGTTTGAAGTGTTTACTGAAATCACCATTAAGGATACTTCTGTATAGAAAGGCAACCATCTCTGAATAGCGAACATATATATTAATTTCTGTTACTGTAGCGTGGTCAAGGTAAACTTGTGGTGATTGGATCTGTGCATATGTTCAGTGATCAATATTTTGATAAAGAAGAGAACAGCAAAGTTCAGGTCAGTAGCCTGACAACAATCTCGTTCCCAGGTCTTTCATAGTCGCACAACAGACATTTTGATCATAGTTTATTCCACTCAAGACCATTTCAACGCGTGTCCAGCATTATTTTTGCCACGAAAAATCGCAGATTTTTTAGCGCGATGTGACATTCCCGCGTGATTGCAAGACCTGAATGAAGTTTTTGTTTGCACGAAGTGATTTTTCACTTTGTCGTTATCACTTAACATATCAGCAAAAGCAATACCGACAAAAAGAAAAGTCGCATACTACTCCATAGTTAACGGCATACTACTCCATAGTTAACGACATACTACTCCATAGTCAACGACATACTACTCCATAGTTAACGACATACTACTCCATAGTTAACGACATACTACTCCATAGTTAACGACATACTACTCCATAGTTAACGACATACTACTCCATAGTTAATGACATAGTACTCCATAGTTAACGACATACTACTCCATAGTTAGAGACATACTACTCCATAGTTAACGACATACTACTTTATAGTTAACGACATACTACTCCGTAGTTAAGGACATACTACTCCATAGTTAGAGACATACTACTCCATAGTTAACGACATACTGTACTACTCCATAGTTAACGACATACTACTATATGTTAGTGTGGTATGTGATTGTATCTCAGGAAATGATTCGTTTACTTAGGATGTTATCTTTCAATGGCTGACAACAAATGACATCAGATTGAACAGTATTGACGCAGAAGATCCAGAGGTTTGCAGTGTTTTCTATTGTATAGTATCAATCTTGTTTATTTGTAAACTTGTAGATCCTGCTTGCATAAATTGTTACGATTGTGGTCCAATTACACACGTAAAAACGCACACGTTGTAACAAACCTTGCTACAAGCCTGTTGCAAACATATCTTGTTGACAAGTTGTGAGATTTTTATGTGTGTCCGTGAAAGGTTTTGTCAAAGGTTTCTTCAGTCTTTTTCAGGACCAAACCGTCAGCAGTTCTTTGTAGAATATTATTATTCTACCAGCACTGGATTTCCACGTTTGATAGAATCACTAAATATTATCATTTGTATATCTAGATCTCCGATTATCATTTTATACCAGACACATCGAAATTGGCTGAGCGACTCAAAGTGTGTTTGCAGGAAGGCGAAGAGGTATTGTCCAGGATGATTGAAATATTCAATTACACTCTTGAGTATATAAAATAATTGAAGCTCATCTGCCTTTTATATGTTCCTATAGATACCACACGATTTTTCGAAAATGTTTGATAAGGATCTTTTCAAACTCGATACAGCAATTGTCCCTGAAGTACTTAGGTAAGGTTGTGTGTGTTTCTGTTTTTATTCTTTTTGTAGAACTTGCCTTAATGTTTTCTGTTGAATTTCAGAGGCTATGATGAAATGCATGTGAAGCATGAACCGCTACAACTTATTCCTCCACAGTTTGAAACTCCACTTCCACCACTACAGCCGGCGGTAAGATGTGTGTTTCATTAAACTAGATACTAGACTATTTCACATCGACACGGGCTGTCCAAACAAGCCGTCCAAAACATACCGTGGCGCATGAAATCAGTTGCCATGTACTCATAATTTGGTACCTTTCTGACAAAAAATGTTGAAACGTGTGCAATAAAGTAAACAGCATCAAACAACTTTCAGATACTCAAGAAATATCACAAGGCTTGCTATTTAAAGAATAAAGGAATACCGAATGGTTTTCCGTGCAGGATTGCGTGATCCATCATGCTATCCTGCTTGGAAAGTAAATGTTTTATAAAATAACTACAGTGAAACAATGACATTTTGAGAATCCTGCGAAGGCATTTTAATTCCTCGTGTGCAGGATAGCCTGATCCTGCACGGCTATTGACCAATCAAATTGCGTGTTTCACTGTAGTTATTATATAAAACATTTTCTCGGGTTATCCCAGACCGTCTATTAGTGAGGTTCAGCTACCATTGGTGGAGTAGTGACCAATCAGATGGGTGGTAGTGGAAGTCAAATCTGAACCTCTCTATATTAAAAAGTGGCTGTCTAAATTCAAAAGTGGTCGTCCCCAGGACGATTAGATGGCCCCTGGCTAAATGCCTGCAGCCTGCATCGACAATATCTACTGTAATTTTTAAAATTCATTGCAGGTATTTCCTCCTACATTTCGTGAACTCCCTGGTGCTCCGCTTGAGTTGTTTGATCTGGATGATCATTTCTCATCTGAAAAAGTCAGGATTGCCCAAGTCACTAATAAATGTAAGTCGAGTCTCACACCTTACCGGACCTCCGAGGAAGATTCGAAAACATGATAGAGCTATCTAGTAGAAATGAAGTTAGTTTAGTGTAGGGACAGATTTACTGGGGGGTGCACCCCCTGTCAACTGTCGAGCTAGACTGCAAATGGGTCCCTGAACGCCTGGTCCATGAAGGTCAATGAATACCCTTTCTGCTAGACCTGGCTGAATCCATCCCTGAGCTCTTGGTGTATCAGAGGAGTACTATAGTGGAGGACCATTAGTAAGATATGTTTTCGCAACTGCTCTAGATTAAATTATAAAGTTATACATACTTTTCACTGAAAGTCACGACCCAAGCAAAGGCTATGTTCTGTATTGTTGCAGGTTCTGATGATGATATGGAATACTATGTGCGTGAATGTGGTGAAATATTGGGCGTGACTAACAAGTTACCTGCCGATGCCAGAGATGCAAAACACATCCTTGAATATATACTGGCACAAGTGGCTGAATTCAAAAAACTGAACCAGGTTTGTAAATAATGATAATCCTTACTGGACCTCTAAGGTGAACAGTTTAGATCTGATACAGCTATACAGTATAAATAAAGTTAGTTTAGGTTTCCTCCTGTAGTAACACTGGATCAATAAGAAATTATCCTTACTGGACCTCTAGGGCGAACAGTTTAGAACTGATAGAGCTATACAGAAAAAATAAAGTTAGTTTAGGTTTCCTCGTGTAGTAACACTGGATCAATGAGAGATGATCCTTACTGGATCTCTAGAGAGAACAGTTTAGGACTGATAGAGCTACCCAGTATAAATAAAGTTAGTTTAGTGTAAGTTTCCTCCTGTAGTAACACTGGATCAATAAGAGATGATCCTTTAATGCTGGACCTCTGGGGAGAACAGTTTAGAACTGATAGAGCTATCCAGTATAGAGATGTCATTTGATGTATGTAATCATTACTCCATCGTGTGACATGCGTGTTGTTGATTTCAGGAACCCAATGACGTGCTTTCTGGTACATAAAGTCAAGATATTTGCCATTCTCAAGGTAGTTCGACTTTATAAGGTATGATATCAGAAACTCCAAAACCAGGCATTACACTGCGTCCGAGGTGAGAGGTAAACCTTTTGACCGATGTTATTTAATTTATAACATTGGCCAACGTCGTTCCCAGGGTATTCCGGTTTTCACTTGATTCCATCTGCCAAACGGACGTTACGTCTTTGATCAATTTCTAGAGTTGTTTCTTTTTGGATTTTTTTTTATTAATGGACCATTTGCATTATAGACTAAATTTTGATCTAAACAAGTCTAGACAAAAATTGCATCACAGCTTGAAAGAGCATCACAAAATTAGTAATATTCCAAAGTTTCGTTGCGAAATGTTGTAAAATGCGGATAATATAGCCTTGCGAAGTTTGCCATTTTTCAGTCATTTTGTATTACAAACGGGAAATTGACAGCAAACTTCGCAAGGCTATATTATCGGCATTTTACAACATTTCGCACCGAAACTTTGGAATATTACTAATTTTGTGATGCTCTTTCAAGCTGTGATGAACTTTTTGTCTAGACTTGTTTAGATCAAAATTTAGCCTATAAGGCAAATGGTCCATTGAGTTAGGGTTGGGGTTAGAGTATAGGGGTAGGATTTGGGTTAGTTACCTAGCCATTTAACACCTCTTCCATCTTCCGGAAATGACGTCATGTTAGTTTGGTTGATGGAAATAACTGCTAACTGGGTGTCCTCTAGGGAATAATCTGGGAACGAGGTTGGACATGAGTAGGACCAACCTCGCACCCAGGGGTTATAGGGGAGGACGTCAAAATATCGCCAAGATGGCGGGTTTTGGTACTGAGAAAGATGGTATGTGTTAATATATTTCATCGCCATGTTTAATTAATCTATCAAGCTGAATTTCTTCACGAACTATTTCAAGATTTGAGCCATTAGATAATATCGCTCTGACACTGTACATTATACTGTAAGGTTACGTATAAATTTTGCTGTTAAATTATTCCAAAGTTTCTTTTTAAAATAGAATGTAAAAAGCATGTAAATATTTAATGTGGATACAACAGTTACTCCAAGACATTTTCCAATGATTACAAATCGCAGAGCATCGCCATTTTAAACTTGTTACTTATTAACTCGGCAGACCACATTCTTCGGTTTTCCACTAGCCAACAATCAACCTCGTTCCCAGGGTCTCTCCTTCTCCTGGGTACGAGGTTGGCCAACAATTAGAATCATTTGGTGCATCTCTGCATGAAACTCAGCAAGGCTGCATGGGGCATACGTTAGATCATGCAACGGGGGTTACATATATTGAACTATCTATATAGCTACAAGAACTATCCAAAGAGCAGAGCTGCAATTGACCATTTGCGTAATAGATTTTGAACTAAACTAAATTTTGAACTAAACAAGTCTAGACAAAAATTTCATCACAGCTTGAAGGAGCATCACAAAATTAGTAATCTTCCAAAGTTTCGTTGCAAAATGTTGTAAAATACGGAAAATATAGCCTTGCGAAATTTGCAATTTTCAGTCATTTTAGATTACAAACGGGAAATTGACAGCCCCAAACCCTTCAAGGCTGTCAATTTCCGGTTTGTAATCTAAAATGACTGAAAATTGCAAATTTCGCATGGCTATATTATCCGCATTTTACAACATTTTGCAACGAAACTTTGGAATATTACTAATTTTGTGATGCTCTTTCAAGCTGTAATGAAATTTTTGTTGAGATCAAAATTTAGTCTATTACGCAAATGGTCAATTCACGCGGAGAATTCTGTCTGATAAAACAGAGAATATGGTCTACAAACACCACAAATAAACCCCGCATTGCCATTGGTTATAAAAATTGTATTCAATATAACTAATTATATAAAGACAAAGGGTTATTGTTGAAAAAAGTCTTCCTATGTTAGTGTACAACACAATTAACTAGTAAAAATTGTTAAATATCTACATTCAATGTTACGATCTGGATAAATAACATAAACAAACTCATTTTTAAATAAGACTCCTACACATTGTTCCTGACACATTTTGACATATTAGGCTCTACACAACTTTAAGTCGGTAGCAAATTATAAATAAAATCTTTGATGTTATATTACTGCATATATTAATGCTTAAAGATAATTATCTTATGAGAGTTTCAAAACAATAAAAAAAACAATGGAACATTCCGATCACTGAATCGTTACTGAATGACACCATATTTTCGTACAAAGTTATCATTGGCAAAATTGGCTGGTCTAAGCTATTTGGAGTGTTAAATTAATTGTTACTTTTAGTAGAATTAAAGGTTATTATATTCCACTTTATGGAATGGATATTTTCCACCATTTATTTATATTTGGGTGTTAAAAGATCTAGCATAGTTTTAGTCATAGTTGTTAAATCAAAATGTGCTTTCCATCCCCAGTCAGTACGGGCATTGCTGTCGTCCAGAACATCAGGCCAACTGTCAGCTGCAAAAGACGGCAGGAATTAATATGAGAGTTAATAGCTCGAAACGTGTTTATGTTAGAAATAACGAGAACGAGGGATGTATGCTATATACAGCCCCGAGGACAAGTATATCTGATATATTTCATTGAGGAGGTTTTCGAACAATGTTCGTTCATCTTGGACAAAGATTTTGCTAGATTTTTCTTCATTCCTTATCTAATAGACAATTTCCCATATATAGACTATTTTTTATCTTAGCAAAAGAGAATATTCCCTGAAAGAGCATACTAAAATGAGTAAATTGCAAAGTTTGGTTGCAAAATGTTGTAGAATGCGGAAAATATAGCGTTGCAAAGTTTGCAAATTTTGTATACTTTTGTATTGCGTGCGGAATTCCTACCATTTTTGGGCCAAATGTGGTAGCAATTTCCGCACGCAATACAAAAGTATACAAAATTTGCGAACTTTGCAAGGCTATATTTTCCGCATTTTACAACATTTTGCAACAAAACTTTGCAATTTTACTCATTTTAGTATGCTCTTTCTAGCTGTGGTGATTTATTTGGCAATTGATAAAACTAGAATAGTGAAGCGAATAGTGCGAATAGTCGACGAATAGTGCGAATAGTACGCGAATAGTCGACGAATAGTGCGAATAGTCGACGAATAGTGCGAATAGTCGGCGAATAGTCGACGAATAGTGCGAATAGTCCACGAATAGTCGACGAATAGTACGAATAGTCCGCGAATAGTGCAATAGAGAATTTGCAAGGCTTTCCACCGTGCTGTAGAACTAAATTTACTGAAGCGGGGCGGGGGGGGGGCTCTATTGACAAACATGAAATCGTGAAAACATTCGTTGATGTCAATGACGTCATACGTAATCGGTAAAAATTACGGGACCACTGAACCACTGAGTTTTAACAAATATTTAACAGGAAGTAGAATGACAATCAGTGGCGCCGTGGGACCCATGTTTTTTTGGGGGGGGGCAAGGGCAGTAATTTTCCGACAAACCGAAAAATTTTTCCGACAAATCAAAAAGTTTTCCGGACGACAACATTTTAAATCTTCACCCCCCGTCGACAACTTTGACAATTTCCGACAGCCTTGACAATTTTCCGACAATTTCCGGCAGCATTGGCAATTTTACGACGGGTGTCAACAATAGGGGAGGGCCATTCCCCCCCCCGGCCACGGCGCCACTGATGACAATCACTAGACGTCATTGACGTACGTCGACGAATGTTTTCACGATTTCATGTTTGTCAACAGAGCCCCCCCCCGGTAAATTTAGTTCTATAGCATTGCTGCAAAGCCTTGCAAAGTCTCTATTGCACTATTCGTACTATTCGTCGCCTATTCGTGGACTATTCGTACTATTCGTCGACTATTCGCGGACTATTCGTACTATTCGTCGACTATTCGCGGACTATTCGCACTATTCGTCGACTATTCGCGGACTATTCGCACTATTCGTCGACTATTCGCGGACTATTCGCACTATTCGTCGACTATTCGCACTATTCGTCGACTATTCGCGGACTATTCGTACTATTCGTCGACTATTCGCACTATTCGCACTATTCGCTTCACTATTCTAGTTTTATCAATTGCCCTAGTTCCTCTAGGGCAATTTCATTTCACGCTTGTGTTCAAAATACCTTTCCGCCATTTTGTTTGTTTTGGGAAAATCATTAATTGTACTGCAGTACAATTAATGAAATAATTGTACTCCTCTCAACCAATCAGCATCCAGTAATTTTGTCATGCTAATAATAATATTTGTTATTGTACCATGTAGGGCCATTAACTCGAGGGGCAGTTGAATAATTGTATTCCCATTGAAAAAGAGTTATTCCCCATCCCCAATTAACGCGAAGTTTCGCCTTGTAAGATCATGTATATAGAAACAAGTACTGGTT